GGGGACAGAAGATGGGGGACAAAGGGTGGACACTGGACAGAGGATGGATGGGGACAGGGGATGGGGGACAGAAGATGGACAGTGGACAGAGAATGGGGGCAGTGGACAGAAGATGGACAGGGGACAGAGGATGGGGGACAGAAGATGGACGGGGGACAGTGGACAGAAGACGGATGGGCGACAGAGGATGGGGGAAGAAGATGGACAGTGGACAGAGGATGGGGGACAGAGGATGGACAGTGGACAGGATGGGGGGCGGTGGACAGAAGATGGATGGGGACAGAGGATGGGGGGACAGAAGATGGACAGTGGACAGAAGATGGGTGGGGACAGAGGATGGGGGACAGAAGATGGACAGTGGGACAGAAGATGGATGGGGACAGAGGATGGGGGACAGAAGATGGACAGTGGGACAGAAGATGGATGGGGACAGAGGATGGGGGACAGAAGATGGACAGTGGACAGAAGATGGATGGGGACAGAGGATGGGGGACAGAAGATGGACAGCGGACAGAGGATGGGGGCAGTGGACAGAAGATGGATGGGGGACAGAGGATGAGGGGACAGGGGATGGACAGTGGACAGAGGATGGGGGCAGTGGACAGAAGATGGATGGGGACAGAGGGTGGGGGACGGGATGGACAGTGGACAGAGGATGGATGGGGACAGAGGGTGGACCCTGGACAGAGGATGGGGGCGGTGGACAGGTGGACGGGGGACGGGAAGGACGGAGGTGGGGGGACAGAGGAGGGTCAGAGGAGATGGAGGCGGTCGCGGGGAACAGAGGGTGTCAGGGGGCAGGGCGGCCGAGGTGGGAGGGACGGAGCTGGGGACGAGCGAGGGGAGCAGCGCGGCCCCGAGGCCGGCGGAGGGTGCACAGAGGGGACAGGGGGCCCTCCCGGCTCCTCGGGGGGCAGGGGTCGGGGGCCGGGGCCCAGGCGGTGGCCGGCCCGGGAGGCGGGACGCGCACGGGAACGGCCGGTCTGGTGACCGGGACGGGGCCTGAGTGACGAGCGACGAGGCCCGGGGCCCGGGGGGCCGGCGACGGGGCTGCCGGCCTGAGCGCCGGGCCCGGGGCGGCCGGCCGGGGCCGGCGACCCGGGCGGCGGGGCGCGGGGGCCGGGGGATGGGACGCGGAGCGCAGGCCGGGAGGAGCGGCCCCTCGGCCGGCCGCGGGCGCACTGAGCCGCTCGGCCCGCACCTCCCAGCGCCGACTCCTCCGGCGCGCGGCCGCCCGCGCCTTATATACCCTGCTAAAAATAGCCTGCGAGGACGCCTCCCAATCAGAGCCGCCTGAAGTTCGAATTGAGCCAATGGCGAGGGCCGTGATGGAGAGGCTCGGTCACGCCAGGCGGGGCCGCTGTGAGTCACCGCCTGCCATTGGCCGGAGCTGACATCACCGGCGCGCAGCCCCCGGGCCGGGCGCAGCGTGATTGGGCGGCGCGCGGGGCGGGCGCGGGCGAGTCACGTGGGGGGGAGGGAGTGGGGGGAGCCTGGCCGGGAGGAGGGGGAGGCTGGCAGCGGAGCTTTGAATAGGGAAGTTTTGCAGGGGTTACGTTTGCAGTCAGTCCGGTGTTTGCAAATATTGTGTGGGCTCGCGAGCGCGTCTCTGGGCTCCGGCAGGATCCGAACCCGCGGCGCCTAATCGCTGTGCGCTGAGTTTGCATGAAACTTTCCCCGGCGCTGCAGGCACGGCTGCTGCGCTCCCGACTCCAGACCGCACACCTCGCTGTTTTCACAACAGCAGTGACTGTCTTTTCCACCCCGACATGGACGTACTCCCAATGTGCAGCATCTTCCAGGAGCTCCAGATTGTGCACGAGACCGGGTACTTCTCGGCGCTGCCCTCCCTGGAGGAGTATTGGCAACAGGTAAATTGGAATTTTCGTGTGCCAGGTGCCCGGTGCGCCGAGGAGGGCGTGCGTGCACGCGCGGCCAGGATGGTGTGTGGTTGGAGGTGCATTTATTTTTCCTCTTCTGCTTCTTTTTTTTTTTTTTTTTTTTTCCGTTTTCAGTGGTTTGGGGACATTTTTTTAAAAAAACTAAAACAATTAGTCCTAAACGCACTTCTGCTGCCTGCGTGCGGAAGGCACTTTCAAGGGGCCTTTCGCGGCGCGGAGCGGAGTTGTCATGGGAGTGGGGCGCCGCGGCGCGTCCCCCCGCTGCTGCCGCCCGTTTCTGGGGCTTCCGGACCGCGTCCCCCGGAGGGCAGCCCCAGCCCCGGGCCTGATCGCGGCCGAGCCCGCGGCGGAAGTTTGGTGTTTGTACCAGCTCCAGACTCCACAGCTGGACCTTGTCATACGAACTTGCATGGGCTGCCAAGGGTATTTATATTTTTTAATGGGAGATTTGTTTTTGTTTTGATTTTTGGGTTCATTTTTTATCTTTTTGGTGTCTGTACAGAGAGTTTTGTTTTTGTTTTTGTTTTTTATTATTATTAAAAATGTCACCAGGAACACATCCACCAGCCTGTTTCCTCCCCTGGGCCATTTCCAATGTCGTTTTCCTCTCTGGAATCCTTACGATGTGTTTCGAGCTGTCTTGTTTTTCTTACCTGCTTCTTTTGTTGACCGGAATAAAAAAAAAAAAAAAGAGCCACAATGTTTGCACAACCAGTGACTTATCAGTCATATGACAATGAGCCCGTCCAAATTGCTCCAAGTCTGAGTTTGAGAAGAAGAGTCCTAGTTTCCGGCATTTTTTTTTTTTTTTTTTAGTGGAACTGGAATTTTTGACATTGGACATTTAAGAAAGTTACCCACCCCCCTCCCCAATCGTTAGGGTTGCCTGAAGGGAGAGAGGAGATTCTGACACTGTCCCATTGTCTTTAAAAAGATAGAAGGAGGGGTCAGGGCTGTCTCTCTGCCCTGCTAGGCTGTTCCCTTTTTGTCACTAAGTGAATTAGCAGATCAAATATATTCTGTGGGTTTCAAAGCCTAGAAAGCTTTTTAAAGGGGATGAAATGCAAAGTGTTGCAACCTTCACATGCCTGCTTAATTGTTCCCAGCCCTGTCCTGCCTTCCTCTCCCCTCCCCCCTTTTCCTCCTAAAGTAGCTGCCCCCTAGGACGTGATTGAAATTGATCTAAGTAGTTTCCTTCGGGCATTTGGGATTTGGGCCCCAAGCCAGGCTGAGCTCCGGGTGGCCTTCAGAGGCTTTTAAACTCTCGGAGAGCTCCGATTCGGTTCCCAGTGCTTATCGGCGTAATGGAGATTTTAAATTAGCCAGATTATTAAAGTTTAGCAAGATCTCAGTAAATGTGCTTTCCTTTTCCTTTGGAACATCCATCAGACACCTTGCTGTCTGTCCCCAGAGCACGGTTCCTCAGAGCACTGTAGTATGTGCCCTGTAACTCAGACGTCAGACGTCTGATTTTAGGGGTAGAGAGAAAACAATGATGGGGTTTTTACCCCCTTTGCTTGCTCATGCTGGCTATGTGACGAGTCTGTGGGGAGGGGGAAGGGTATGTGCTGTATTCTCGCAGGCACATTTGCCCAGTAAGCAAGCATGAGCCCTTTGGGTAGGCTTTGCGAGTCTTGAAAATGATTTGCACAGTTTGCTGTAGAAATTGAAATCTGTAGAAATGCAGTTGTATCAACAGCCTTATATGGGCATGCAGGCAGTTGATCCTAGTAGAGATAAGGGCAGACATCATGTAATCCTAAAATGTTTCCTACCATTTTTCTTTTCCAGTGGCCAGAAACTTTGGGATGGGGGGGGGGGGGATGCCCGTCTCCCGGCAGTTGTAGCTTCTTGAAAGGTCGGCTGTGGGGCTGGGGAGGGGCACTGCCCATGACACCTGCATGTCTATTTGAACCGGGTCCTTTTCTGGCCGCTGGTCAGAATTTCAAAAGGAAGTCTCCTTTGGCATTGCGTGAAAGAAACACAGCGATGACTCATACGGTTGTACTCTTGGCCAGTAGATAAAGTTCTTGTCCATTGTGGGACTCCCCAGCAGGGCTGGGAGGAATTTCCCCTCCTGCATTCTTTACAATAGCAGATGGCCGTTCTGGAACGACTTCTCCACTCCTGTTGTTGAAGCTCTTGTTTTTCTCTGACCACTGTGGAAGTCATTAAAGTTGTGTGCGAGCACGGCCCTGCACTTGGGAATGGCATTCTTTGAAAGCCTCCTGGGTCGGGGCTATGCAGGAAACGGGGTGGTTTCTCTGCAGCTCCGTTGATGTGCCCGAACCCAGATCGTCAGCTGGCCCAGCGTGGCCCCGTCCTCTCAGCTGTCCCTCTAAAGAAAGACACACGCGATGTCAGAGCACATTGCATTGCGGGCAAGGCTGCCTTTCTGTCTGGTGCGTGAGAAGGGAGGGCGGCCGGGGGCATTCCTTAATGCACATGGCGCTCGAGACTCAGATAATCTGGTTAAACCTGTCGGGGGGAGGAGGGCACTGTCTCAGGCCGGTTTTCTTTGTGTGGCTCCCGGAAACCCATTAGTAACATCAACACTGGTAACTGTAGCCAAGATGGCTTCGTGTCCATCAGCCCTTGTGGCCACCGGTCCGGCCTGGGAAGGCCAGGGCCTCCTCTGCCTCTGGTCTTTCTTGCGGATGCATGTCCATTCCTAGAAACAGCCTTCCCCTCGCTCTCCTAGCAACACGATTCTTAACAGCACTGCGGCCCCGGCCCCGGCCACGGTCTACCTGCCCTTGATTCCTGCCTGGTTTTTGGCATCTTGCTTTCGGTTCCATTTTCAATCGTCACAATCACGTGCCTTCTTGCGGTTCCTTTCGCACAGACCTGCCTGGAGCTGGAGCGTTACCTCCAGAGCGAGCCCTGCTATGTGTCGGCCTCTGAGATCAAGTTCGACAGCCAGGAAGATCTGTGGACCAAAATCATCCTGGCTCGGGAGAAAAAGGAGGATCCGGACCTGAAGCTTTCCTCCAGTCCCCCCGAGGACGCTCTGAACAGCCCCGGCTTTGCTTACAACGTGGAGACCAACAGCCTCAACTCGGACCTGAGCAGCGAGTCTTCCGACAGCTCCGAGGAACTCTCCCCCACCACTAAGTTCTCCTCCGACCCCATCGGCGAAGTCTTGGTCAGCTCGGGGACCCTGAGCTCGTCGGTCACCTCCACGCCCCCTTCTTCTCCGGAACTGAGCAGGGAGGCGTCTCACCTGTGGGGCTGCGTGCCCGGCGAGCCGCACCCTTCCGGGAAGGTGCGCGGCGGAACTGCGGGCAAGCCGGGTGACAAGGGCAGCGGGGACGCGTCCCCAGATGGCCGGAGGAGGGTGCATCGGTGCCACTTTAACGGCTGCAGGAAAGTTTACACCAAAAGCTCGCACTTGAAAGCTCATCAGCGCACTCACACAGGTCAGTCCCTCCTGCCAAGAGGGAGGTGGGCCGCTGGTGGGCGCCGCTGAATCGCAGCAGCTCTGGGAGGGGGCCGGGGCCCCGCGGAGCGGACGCGTCCTCACCTCTCCAAAACTGAGGTCATGAGACTCAAAAGAGTTGGGTCTCTGGGGAGGACAGAGTAGGAGCCGCAGGACTGGATGAACGGTTGACACTTTGAGATTAACCGCATGAGGTAAATCCCATTCTCCGCCTATGCCCCACACCCCTCACTCGCTCCAGCCTCCCGGCCGATCCAGGCCTGCGGTGCCCAGTCTGCGGCGTCCCCGCAGACGGTCACGCGGACTGGCCGGCGGTTTTCTGAGAATGAGACTCAAGGGTGGGGAGAAAGGGAGGGCCGGGCGGCAGGGAGCACGCCGGTGTCGGCCACACGGGAGCTTGGCCAGTGCGCAACGTGGGAGGCAGTACTGATCTGTGGGTACTTCCTGAGAATGTCTCTGTGTATCACGTGGCCTTTGTTTTCTGAAACCAACTTAAAAAAACAAAAACAACTTTGTCACGACAGCTGCATTTGAAATCACCGCGATAGGCTGGGGTGGCCGGGCGCAGAATCAGACAAGTTCCCGAGGATGGAGAGATGTTGAGGATGGAGGCGTGTGATGAGGCGGGCACCTTGGAGTCCCCGAGTCAGGGCCCCCGGGTCCCCGTCTGTCCTCACTGACGTCACACTGGGGGACAGGGCATGGCAGACCCTTCACTGCCCTCAAGTAGCGCTGAGCTCGGGTTTACTGGCTGACCCACGGATGCAGGCAGTTTGGCCGTCGGACAGTCATTTAGAAAGTGCTTTGAAGGCCTGAGGATGGGGTTTCCCAGAAACTCATGACCTCAGTTTTGGAGAAATGTTGCTTCCCGGAGGAAACTACAAAGGCTCATTCCACAGGGAAGTGAGTAAGGAACCAAATAAGTGCTAGAGAGAAGCTGTTTCCATGGAGAGAGCTGAGGAAGCCTGCCCCCGCCAGGGCTGTGGCTCCAGCGGGCGGAGCGTCAGCTCGGAACGATTTCGCCCGTCTGAGTAATTGTCATTCTTACACGTTAGCTCTGATTACGGTCACGTGGGCCCCCGCCACCGCGCCTCGCGGCCCAAGGCTAAGGTCAGGAGGGGCTCCTGGGTGTCGGCTCCGTCCTTAATTGAAGGGGGACCGCGAATTCCCGAGGAGGCCGGCCCCTGGGCTTGCCTGCGGGTTGACTTTCGTCCAGCCGTTTCCCGGTGCCCTGTCACAGCACACCCCTCCCGCGCAGTGAAATCACGGGGTGCCTGTCCTGTGCTCTCTTCCCAGGAGAAAAGCCTTACAGATGCTCATGGGAAGGGTGTGAGTGGCGTTTTGCAAGAAGCGATGAGTTAACCAGACACTTCAGAAAGCACACTGGTGCCAAGCCTTTTAAATGTTCTCACTGTGACAGGTATGTGTTCCCTAAGTGCAGGGGCGCAGAGTGCCGGGGTCAGCCAGGGACAGGCGCGCGGCGGAGAAGGCGGGCAGCCCCCCGTCCCGCAATGGCATTTGTCATCTCGGCCGGGGACTTTTGCAAAGGGCCGTGAGCTGCCAGTTGCCCAAATTAGGAAGAACTGTGCTCTGTGCGCGTCAGAGGAGAGTGATTTCATTCATACTTTCTGAAGGCCGGCCTTGGACAGTTGGAACTTGCAGGCCGGGCAGTAGGGCCGGGCGAGGCGCCCCCGGGAGCCGACTGGAGGCCTTCCTTGCCGCTTGGGAGCCCCCGCCCCTGAGAACGAGCCTCCGTGACTCGGTGCATTCCCACTTCCCCTCGGGAGGGGCGCGGGGGGCGGGCGGAGTGCAGGCCAGGGCCGTGACCTCCGCCCGGCTGCACACCTAACCTGTCGGATGCCGATTTGCTCTGCAGGTGTTTCTCCAGGTCCGACCACCTGGCCCTGCACATGAAGAGGCACCTGTGAGGGGCAGCGCGGCGAACCCTGCGGGCTAAACGGCTTCCAGGCTGAGAGACAGCCGTGGAAGGAGGGTGCGTGTTCCAGCCAAAGCATGCCATTTTGCACCCCACCCAGCTGCCTCCAGGACCTCTACTTGGAAGGTCCCTCGAGGGCGAAACCCGTCACGTCAGAGGCGGCAGAGCACGCGCGGTGTGTGGCGTCTGGGTGGCCCTGACTCACCACCGGTCCCCACCTTCCGAGTGGTCCCTAAGCCTTCGCCGTGAGCGTGTGCACTGAGAATGTTAATGGTTGGGTGGACTGTGTGTGGAGGATCTTTTCTGACTGTGTGATGAGGCCGAGGCTTCTCCCCGGCGGCGGCGAGGCCGCGAGAGGCCGCAAACGCGTAGTTTGAATGTTTTGTGTGTGCGGAGTATATACCACGAGAGGAGATGACCACCAGACGTTTCCTAGGGGGTGGGGTCTGCGCCTTAGAATAAAAATTAAAAAAAAAAAAAAAGAAGGGAACCTATGGAGGGCGGGAGTGGGTGGTCACGACCCCCGAGTGGCAGTGAATGGGTGTGGGGAGGGGACCCCCCCTTCCCGTGTGCGAGAACGTTTGGTGTCTGGTGCAGCTATGAAACGTGCAATGTGTCAAGTAGCTGGTTTGCACTGGCTACAGCGAGCTCATTTGTTACCCGTCGTATAAGCTGTGTATCTACAAATATAACACATGATAACTTTTCCTTGTAAGACACAAAGTACTGCATGGTCCGGGGGACGATCTGCTTTTCCATTCTTCGGTCAGGGCTACACTGTTGATTCCAGTTACTGAGCAGCGAAGACAACGGTTGGTCAAATTCAGTGCTCCCTACCCATCTGGGCCTGGCAATACACAATCCTCCCCCCCCCCCCTCGATTTTGTAACACTCCCTTTCAGAAAGGCGTTGCGCAGCATAGGATTATTTTTTGAACGATGCTGAATTTGAATTCCCTTTTCGGAGAATTCCGTGATGCCCTTTGAAGGCATTGGGCGTATGTTGGGTATCAAGAATGCTAGGGCTGGGAATTGCCGGTCTAATGTTGCATTAGACTGAGAACCGAAAATTTTTCTCAGTTGGGTGGATAAAACCACTAAAGCTTAGAAACTGTTTTTTCATGCAGCTAAGTTTCTCTTATTTATGCCTTGAGGACTAATTTCTGGTTTTCTAGCTGTTAATGCACTGTAGATCTTAATAATGGTGCCTTATGCAAGTGGCCCCTTCTGCGGGGGGGCCTCATACAGGGGTATGGGTGATGCATGCTTTATTAAGGCTCTTTTTTTCACCTGGCATTGTACTGTATCAATATATAATACAGAGGGAAAAACAATCTCTTTAAAAGTCCTCCTTCACCAAGACAGAGAAAGAGATAAAACTCCCCAGACGAGTCAGTATTTACTCGGTATTTTTGACAACTTGACTGTCAGTGTTAAAGTGAAAACACAGGATAATTGGAAAATCGGACCATTTCTGCCACCATGAGACTTTCATATAGACTTTGCACAACCATTGTGTATAGATCACACACCGGCTGTATTTAATATGTAACGTTTCCACACATATTAAAGACACAGAAGTATAAAAAAAAAAAACCCAATGTTAATGTATTTGCTTAAAAGGCACAGGTCCACACATGTATCTGTTGCTAATACAGAAAGTATATTACTTTTTTTAAAAAGTGGGCGGAATTCTTGTGTATGTATATTTGTCTGTAATGTATGTGTATGTGTGTGTGTGTATGTGTGTATATATATACATATATATAGATAATATATAAATATTTTTTTAAGGAAAAATGAGAATGTTTAGCTAGGAATTTCCACAGCCTGTGAAGAAATATTTCAGAATGGCCATAAAGGAGGTAAAAATGAAAACTATAACTTTTACGAAGGCTTTATCTGTAATTTAATGATCTGCTACAGAGTCTTGGCATCAGATCTCCCCCAGACTGCTGATCATTATTGGCAGGTCCGGAGTAGTGGACCTTCGGCCGTCCCAAAGTGGCTCAGACGGGAATGCTGACCCACTAATTGGTCTCAGACACACCAAGGTTTTGATTTTGAATTTCAGCCTTATTAGAACGTCGAAACTAAGAGTAAGCTAATCACTTTTTAGTAAGCTAAAAAGGGTTCTTTTTTAGAATACTTTTTATGCAGATGAAGCTATTTTTTTTTCCAGCACATAGATTCTTCCAACGAGTCATTTCCCCGAATTGGCATACCACAGCATGGCTGATATTCCATCCAGCTGCTGGCTGGTGGGTGTGGATCTCGTCTTTATATATATGTATATATATATATACATATGAGTCTGGCTGGCCTGGTATTTTGTTTGATCTTCCTGGAAATGAGCAACGATGAAAGCTCACATAACTGGTTTTTTGTTTTGTTTCGTTTTGTTTTTCAATCTGGGCTGAATACACATACCTGAAGAACTCATTTCATTTTGCTGCGGGGCGGGTGGTGGGGGGGGATGCACTTTTCTTTTGGCGATTCCGAATCCAGGCACTTGATTTGCTGGGTTTTGGGAAACTCCTTTTTTGGCCCTGCTCTGTTGCTTTAGCCATAACAATTCCATTAAGCAAGAAGGTAAACGAAAAGACAAAAAAGGAAAGAAGGGAAAAAAAAAAAAAAAAACCCACACAACAGCTTGCCCTGGCTTGTGTCACTTACAAAACATCATGGAGTTGTTTGATTGGGTGGGGCTCGATGCCATGTGTGTCAATGCCTGTAATTTTCATAATAAGCAAGTACATAAAGAATTACATTCTGTTCAGGTGATAACTGAGCCTCAATCAAGCAGAAACCTTTTGCTTGACATTAAAAAAAAAATTTCTATTAGTGAAATTTCTTTTGTTTTTTTTTTGAAGCACCCTGTTATCTAAAGAATCTTTGTAAGATTTTTGTAAAATTTTGTTTTACAAGATTTTATTTGAAATTGTTTTTTGCAAGATTGTTATATTTCTGTATGAATGTATTTTTTATTGGAATAACATAAAAGAATTCTTATCAGCATCTCGAGTCTGGTGGTTTTTGGTGGGGGCGGGGAGGGGAGGGTGTCGAAACAGATTCCTGTTCTATTAATCACCCTGCTCCTCCTTGGGAAATGGCCCTTGTGCAACCTGACGGCCACCCCCTGCCCCCCCTCCCTACCCTGCCCCGCCCCACACCACACTGACTTTTCCAATCGCAGCCTGTCCTGGGAGCTAAGACGATCCCGCCCAGTGTTGCTCCGAGGAAGGTAGAAATGACAGAGGAGAGGCAGCTGGCCCAAGAGTCATACCCTGGCCTTCAACTCACTCTTTTATATAAAATATATATTTACTGGGGCGCCTGGGGGGCTCAGTCGGTTGAGCGTCTGACTTTAGTTCAGGTCATGATCTCACAGTTCATGGGTTCGAGCCCCGCATCGGGCTCTGTGCCGACAGCCCAGAGCCTGGAGCCTGTTTCAGATTCTGTGCCTCCCTCTCTCTCTGACCCTCCCCAGCCTGCACTCTGTCTCTGTCTCTCTCTCAAAGAATAAACATTTAAAAAAATTTTTTTTAAATAAAATATATCTTTACTGATTGGCCCAGTAAAATAGGGCAAAAAGTAAAAGATTGTTTACGTGATCCCATGGTTTTACATGTTTGTTTCTTAGGGCCGGCAGGATGTACTAGATGTAGTTTGTGCAAAAATACAATAGCTTTTAGTTTTCAGCAATGTTTCGTGTGAGTACCTTTAGCTCTTGGTCTCAGTCTTCCTGTGTGATTCGTAGCAACTCCATTTGTAGTGTGCAAGTCCATTTTCAATTCATATTAAGACTCAGTAGAGATGGGGTAACATCAGTGTGCTTTCCAGAACTCGGGGCTATGGGATTATGGAAATTTCCGTAGGAACAAGCTTCTTCACGTCGCTCCCAGTTTAAGGAAGTTCTTGTTTTTCAGTTGCTTGCTACAGATCTTCCTAGTGCATCTTCATTTTGCTGCATATATGGGGTTTACACTAGTTGGCTTTTAATTTTATAATTAGGGAGGGGAGGTTTAAATGCCTCCCCAGATTAGGAATGTTAAGTAATTTTCTTTCTAGAACTGCAGTAAAAATATCAGCGATTTGCAAAGAGTTGCAGTGTGGGCGGTAGCAGGAAGCGCGATCACTGCTGGGACTCGCTGGGTGTGCAGGGTTCTGAAGCACATGTCAGGATGACTAATAGTCGGATTGCCCTGACTGTGCGGCTAAATAAAGGCTCGATCATACATTCTCGGCTACTAGTGAGACTCGACCACTCTGTCATGCGAAGACTATGCTGAACACCTCAGTTATGTTCAAATAAGGCTGTTAGAAGGACTGTCATGTAGGGAGTCAGCTGTAAACCAAGGGTATTTATAGAAGTGAAGGAAATTTCACTGTGCTTCATGAATTTGTTGCAGCCCAGCTCCAAAGAAAGGGTACGTTCCTGTTGGAACCAGCTGTGTGCTTTCGGCCAATTTGCTGTGTGGCGCTGGACCTCCATGTTCTTATTGCTGAAATATTCTGGGGCAGGTCACATGTGTCTGGCATTTTGCACAGCGCTACAATTCTGTGGTCTGTGAGTATAGGGTGGATTTCAAATTACACGTTCACCATTTTCAGAACGCTCGGCTCGGATCTAGAAAACCTCGTCTGGCACTACAGTAGAAACTATTGTGGAGAAGATGGCTCTGCCTTAGAATGGAAAATGGAACGTTCTCAACTTGCCCTTTGCCCCTTTAATTATAGTTAAGTTAGTCAGGCATTTGGTGCTGTACGGCATACCATTTATTTATTTACTTACTTACTCATTTATTTAAAAACCTCTTCGAAAAGTACCATTGGAGCCCTGGCGGAGCCAAGGTGTGTCGAGTTCTCCCAAAGCACCAGTCGGGTCCCACACATCCCAGCTGACCTGGACGCTTGAGGGGCGGTGGGGCTGATTGGAGTCAAGTTGTTTATCTTCCTATTTTAATTGCTATGGAGAAAGAACACAGCTTTTCTACGTAGTTCCTTTCTTAGGATTTAACCTCCTGCTACTCTGAGCTATTTTTTTTCCCACCACAATCCTCAAACTGAATTGCTCCGCTGCCAAAGTCGGGTGATGATTACTACTTCTTACACCTTCCCCGGGAGTTGGGTAGGAAGGGGGGTCCCTCTCCCTCCCTCAGTCTGTCTCTGTCTCTCTGGGAGTGTGCGTGTATCTGTATATGTTTCCCGGGGCACACCACACAAGAGGTGTCATCCCCGCTTCACAGATGGGGTTACTGAGGCTCCTTTCCCAAGGTGGCCCGGCCAGGAAACAGCAAGCTAGGCATTCAGTCGCGTCCTCCCAAATGCCAGAGACCAAGGTTTCCATCGCCACCCGCCCCTGCTTTCTGTCTTGTCCAAGCTTTCTGAGAGCCTCTGCTCCTTCCATGAGATGCAATTTACAATGAAGTTACATTTACGAAATGGAGACAGAACTTTCTTACAATTCAGAGGCACTAAAGCTATAAACTGTGCTGTAATCCCGAGCAAACAAAAGTAACCATTTTGAATTGCTTTCAAGATATGAGACAGATGGCCTGTATTTATTTTTAATGTTTAAGAAGATACAGAAAGCAATTGGAGATGTGACATCCTGCATTAATTGGTAAGCATCACCTAATGTACATAGTTAAGACACAAAGAGAGGAAAATTAGATCCATGCATCACACAAATGAGGCAATACAACAAAGTGTATTTAACTAGGTTTATTTTATAACGTGGTCTCTCTGCTTCACTCTACGTAGTTTTAATGAGGATTCTTTAAATGTCTGCGGGTAAAAAGAGACTAAGGAAGAGTCTGGATGCCACATGTCCTTATGGGAGCCATGCTGGGCTGAGCGGTCACTGCAGAATTGTCAATAAAAGCAGATTTAACTAGAATGCCCACTGTCACTGTCAGTTCCTCCACACTTGAGTTTCCAGGCCCCTTACACTGACTTCCCTTTACATAATCTGTACCAAAAAAAAAAACAAAACAAAAAAAAAACCAACCCAAAGATATCATATGATCTGGAACAGTTCCTTAAATGAAGAGCCCCCAATTCAAAGCTGCTGTAAACAATGATTAACTTTCTAAAAGTCTCAGCGATGTTGATAATGGGCAAGTGTCCCCACACTACACATCAGCACTTTTCGCAGCTCCGAGCAGTGCTGGGCACCCCAGAACGTTTGGGGATGACTTGCATGTACCGACTAAGCACAGTTCTGTTCTCATGCATTTCTTAACTTTCACGTTACCACACTTCGCCTTGGTTGTGCAAGACTTCCTTCCATAGGAGCAACATGGGTGATGGCCTGTGCTGGCTTTATCAATGAAGGGAGCAGGCAGTGCTGTGGGGGGCGCTTTTCCGCTTGTGCAGGGACCGGGAGGGGACAGGAGGGGAAAGGGGAGGGGAGGGGACAGGTGACACAGCCCTGAAGGGATTGCCTTCTCTCTCGCTGGCTCTGAGACCTGAGACTGGAATGTGAAAGCTCCTCACTGTGGCCCCCGTCCTGACTCCTACTGTGCATACCACGCACCACCCTCCCCCAAGCAGCTCGGTTCTGTTCACCCCCAAAGCGGGAGGGAGCCGGCTGTCTATGAGACATACTTTATGTGCCGATGTTTTAACTGTACAAATGTAACTCCTTATGGTAAAACTGCCTTCGGGGGAATTCTGATCTATACACCGTTTAGTTAAGGTAAGTGAAAGAGAACATCTGTGCTCACTCCAGACACCGACCCATGGCCGTCCTCTGTTAATGACCTCTCTGGCGTCGGGCTCGCCTGGAAGGTGGGGACGGGCAGCCCGAGGTACCACGGGACTGCTGGGCAACGGCCACTGAACGTCCGCCTCTCGGGTTGCTCCTGCAGCATCCACGAACCCCGAATGATCTACCTAAGGGAGCAGTAAGAGCGGTGAGGGCCCTTGGCGGAGCAGAACAGCCACCAGAGGCCGTGGGCCTGGGCTTGTCGGGTCCTGGGCTGCCGCACACTCAGACCTCCAGTGTGTCAGGAGCCAGCGGGGGGTGGGGGCGGCGCTTCCAGCCCCACTGTGAGCAGGAAGGCAGCCAGCAGCTTCTGGTCCCCGGGACCACCACGCCCTGCCCACGGACCTTCCTGCGCTTAGGTGAGCGGGAGCCTTGCCTTTTAAGGACCTGGCTGGTCCGGTGACAGCGGGAGGCACCTGCTGGAGAAGGTGGGAAAGCTGCTGTCCAGATGCCCCGGAGCCCTTTCTTCAAGCTGTGAGTTCCCTCGGAAACGTTTCCCGGTGACCCGGTCCAGCAGTTGCTGCGTTTTCAGGGAATTCTAGCAGTTGTACTCTGCTGTGTCCTGGGGAACGGGCGGTGAGCCTTCCCACACAGGCCTCTACAAATAAAGAGATTCATTAGTTCCCGGCTTGTGGCGACCCTTTCTTAAACCCTTTAAACCGTGGAAACCCTCTCGGGGCTGTTGACGGACTAGAGAAAAGGTACGTGGGGGAACCCGGCACGCGGTCCGAGACGGGTCAAATGATGGCCGATGGACGTTATCGTTGTGCGGTGGGTATTTATTTCTCCTCAGGAAAATAACCCTTGTTTCCCCCCACTGAATTTATTTAAAAAGAGATTTTTGTAGGTCCGCATTAGGCAAATTTCACTCGCATTTATTTTCCACAACCTTTTCCGGTGACCCCAGCAAAGGATGAGCTTGGGCTTCCTGGGGTGTTTCCATGATCAACAACGTAGCTTCCACTCAGAGTTCTTGCCACGCTACTGAAACCGTTAGGTCACTTTCCCGTCAGAAGCCGTGAACGGGCTGGCCCACGGCAGAATGGAGGTGACCAACAGCTTCAGCGAACTGAATTCACAGTGTTTTTGACAAATGACCAGCAGCGGAAAAGTCGCCAGTGTCCCTGCAGTTTCCTGGAGTGGCTGTAAATCTCGAGAAGGGTCCGTTGTTCTGAATCAGGTGGGCTGTGCTTCAGTGACCGTTATGAGGATATCTCATCAAAATCCAGTGGGGTTATTGCATTATTTAACTTCTGACTCCGTGGATTAGGAGCGTGGAAAACCTGGTCCATCACCAGGCATCAGCATCCGGGCTAGAAGCCACTGTGTCTGGCGTACGCTCTGTCCAATTAATATTCCTATGCCTACATTCAGACACACATATTGGCCGGATTTCTTTCCTTTTTTATTTCAGTTAAACTGATGTTTGCTCGTTTGTGTGTTTTTTATGTTCACCCCCTTTTTCTATGCCTCCGTTACTTTTAGTGAAAATAAAACACCCCATGTTTGCAGAGGTTTGGGTTTTCCTTTCCTGCATTGCTTTTTGTGTTTTGTTGTTGTTTGTGTTGCTTTGGTGTCGCTGTTGCTATTTGTCGATGTTGTTCGTAAAATGGTCTCAGTGGCCGTTATCTTTTGACAACTGAGAGCCCCAGTGGCCTCTGACGCAGGCGACCACTCTGGGTAACGACGCTGACCAGCAAGAACGTGAGGATGGCTCCCCTTTGCCCCTCACAGTGGTGAGGCGGCGGCTGTGAGTGCTCTCGGTTCGCAGACTGGACCCGAGGCGCAGTCTGGTAACCCCCAGGGCCAGGCCAGGGAGAGGCGGAGCCAGGGGCAAGCCAAGCCCATCTTGTCCTGCATCACAGCAGGTTCTGCTTGGCCCCCTTCTTAGGACAGGTCTGTGCAGCCATCTTATGAACGTCAGGAATTAGACTCCATAGACGTAGCAGGCGCTCTGTATGAAGTGCTTGGGCTCCCGGTCAGACCCATGTTCATCTTCTCAGCCTCCCCGTAGCTGAAGTCCACGTGAGTCAGTGACAGAACATCTGAGGGCAAAGCCCATACTTCATTCATTCATTCAGTCACTCATCCTCTCAACAGCCAGTGAGTGGCAGTGAGGGGACCCCCTAGGTGCCCAGACATTGCAGAGAACCCTAAGACCGAGTCGGACCCTTTCCTACAAGCCTTAGGGGATAAGCTGAGCCCTCCACCAGCATCCCAGGCCACACTGGTCCACAGGGGTCTCCTTCTCTGAGCTTCTGTGCTTTGCTTTTTATTTGCCTTGTTTGATATTCAATACGAGACACCTTGGCGCTTTTATCTGTCCTTTGTAATTCGTGGCCGGGAGGTGGGCCTTTCAAAGCAGCCCTTGAGAATTTGTGGTCCCCTGCACACAAGTCACATCACTGCCCGTCAGTCCGGCGCTCCATAAACGCTTGCCAGCCTGCCAGGGACGACTGCCCCTGTGTGTGCGACTGCCCGCGGCCCCTTCGCCAGCGCCCTCAAAGCTCCTGTGGCTCATGTTGGATCAGATCTGACACAAGTCCTAGGACCCCCCGTCCCCGCTGAGCCCCCTGCGGTCAGGAATCACGCCCACGGTGGGTGTGGGGAGGGCGGGCAGGTGCGCGCCCTGATTTCTGGACCCGTGTGGCAGATTCTACCACCGAACACCGACCACGGACCTGAACAGATACATACGTGGAATTTGTTTTCATTTCTACCATGAGGGGGTTGAATCGTATTAAGAGAAGGTCTTGCCCATCCTTCCCAAGGTGTGATGGCATTTCGGGCATGGATGACCCCGTCCTGGGAGAGCCACCTCAGAAGTCCCTCCAGGCTCCAGTGTCGTCTGCTCTCCTGAACCTCCATCACCTGCCTCTTCTCTGGGCTTCTTCACTGTCTCTCTCACTCTCCACAGTAGGAGTCCGTGAACGTGAACGGCATGCTCCTCTCTGAGGGCTCGGCCCCCAGCGTGGGCGCGCTGCACCTGCCCGCCCAGTGAATGAATGATTGCATGAATGACTGCATAAGTGCTCTGTCACTACTTCGCTCCTTTTGCCAGCAGCATGTGTACCTTGATTCTCTTTTTTTAATTTTTTAAGAGAGAGAGACAGAGACAGAATGCAAGTGGAGGAGGGGCAGAGAGAGAGGGAGACACAGAATCTGAAGCAGCTCCAGGCTCTGAGTTGTCAGCACAGAGCCCGACGCGGGGCTTGAACTCACAGACTGAGATCATTGCCTGAGCCTGTCAGATGCTTCATCAACTGAGCCATCCAGGCATCCTCATACCTTAATTCTAAATAAAACCCAATCACTCATTTGATCTAGTTTGTGGTCATTCTTTTTCCTCCCCTGTCACCTTAGATACAAACGTTATTGGGGCGCCTGGGTGGCTTAGTCGGTTAAGCGTCCGACTTTCGCTTTGGTCATGATCTTGTGGTTCGTGGGTTCGAGCCCTGCGTCGGGCTCTGTGCTGACTGCCAGCTCGGAGCCTGGAGCCTGTTTCGGAGTCTGTATCTCCCTCTCTCTCTGACCCTCCCCTCTTCATACTGTCTCTCTCCTAGAAATAAAAACATTTAAAAAAAAAAAAGATACAAACGTTATTGCAGGGGCATCCAGGTGGCTCAGTCCATTGAGCGCCCAACTCTTGATTTCAGCTCAGGTCATGATCTCACAGTCCATGAGTTCGAGCCTCGCGTTGGGCTCTGGGCTGACATCACAGAGCCTGCTGGGGATTCTGTCTCCCTCTCTCTCTGCCCCTCCCCTGCTTGCTCTCTATCTCTCTTAAAATAAATTAAAAAAAAAAAAAAACTTAAAAAAAAAAAGCTTTTCCAGGGATTCCTGGGTGGCTCAGTCGTTGAGCGTCCGACTTCAGCTCAGGTCATGATTTCACGGTTTGTAGGTTTGAGCCCCACATCAGGCTCTGTGTTAACAGCTAGCTCGGTGCCTGGAGCCTGTTTCAGATTCTGTCTCCCTCTCTTTCTGACCCTCCCCTGCTCACACTGTCTCTCTCTCTCTCTCAGAAATAAGTAAAACATTAAGAAATTAAAAATAAATTAATTAATTAAAAAAGCTTTTTCAGAAGATGACACTGTTGGAGATCAGAGGAAAATGATCAGGGAAATCCACAAACCTGACAAAACCGGATCCCCAGTAACACGGCCGGGGCAACACATCTACCTACGTGAGTTCCCTTTTCTCAACTTTACATGAATTAAAAGGACTTACCCCTCCTACAAACACATTGAAGCATTGAATGCTCCAGAAAGAGCCACCAGCCTCTGAGTAGAGCCACTGGGGGGAAATGAAAGTGAAACTTTGTTAAGAGTGAGTTCTGCCCCCTGCCATTCAAATTTAATAAATAATCAAGTGTTTTGACATATCACTTCTAAACTAAACACAAAGTCAGCTCGGGCATAAGCCGGGGGTTCCCAGGTGGCTAGTTTAAACGTCTGCAAACCCCAGCCTCCTTTCCCACAGCCTGCTGCCTTTTCCCGCTTCCTCTCTGCAAGTCATTTGATGGTGATTTTCCTCCATTCCGTCAGTGTCCCTCTTTTTCTTCAGGGTCCAGAGATGACTGAGCTGCCACTGCTCCAGCTGGACCTGCAAAGTGCGTGCTTTCTCTTCCCAGGTGTAGGTAACAGGACGCAGTGGCCGAGTTGGGAACGTGTTCAAATCCCTCCCTGGAGCACCCCCTTGGCCGAGGCCTGGGTGCCGCAGCTGTGAGTCTGTCTCAGGTGCCCCAGCCAGTACTGAGTGCCAGGCTCGTGCCCGCGTCCCTCGGGCAGTTCCCGGAGCTCAGAGGGGGCGGGAAACGAAACCCCAGTCCGGTTTTCTCCAAATGGCTCACTTCGGGGCGGGCTGCTTTTGTCCCAAGTCCTTGGATGCAACGTTTCTTAGCCACCATTCCATTTAATGACTCTTCTTCATTCCCTGGATCTGTGTGAACATCACTGGGAAACACCCTTTCAGGACATCTCAGGACCGTACAAAACGCACCCGAGCATGAGAGCCTGGAGCTCTGCTGGTCTTGGTCTGTGACAGCGGGGCCGTCGACATGGGGAGTCGCTGGGACCACAGATCACATTATGAGGGGCGTCTCCTGGGACCTGGTGTCGAGGCAGGCAATTTACACCACAGGCCACTCGGGCTTGGATTATTCCAGTACTTTCTTCTGTGCAAAAGAGGAACAAGAATTATAGGACACCCTCCTGAAGTTGTTGGGTGCGTCCAGAGAACTCAGAGATACAGAAGCGCTTTGAGCAGGTGAAAGCCAGCTCTCGGGGACACTGCTGTCCGGCCGGCGTGTCTCGTCCACCTGCGGGCAGCACGTGCCGTGCGTGGGCATCCCGCTCCCGCAAGTCACCCCAGCCAACGACCTACAGCGCTGAGGACGGCAGACCGCAGCCCTCGCTGCCCGCCGCCCGCCGCCCGCACGGGGTGCGCTCGCCGCCAGAGAGGCTCGTCTGTGCCTCACGGTCGGTATCGGTCCCTACGATCTGCAAGCTCCTTCCTTATGGAGAGGACAGGCGTTGCTGGCGGACAAGCCCCACTCAGATGATGACATCAGCAGGCACTGGGTGAACTCACCTTGTTATGACAGGGCAGCTCGGGAGCAGATCAGTGTCCACACACGACACCGTCATCTCCAAGGCTTGCGTTCACAGCGGTCCCGGACGGAGGAAACATCGGGAGCTAAACGGCCTCAGACCTGCAGCCACGGAACAAACGCAGCGACCGTTGTTGGTGTGTCCCCGTCACCAACAGTGCTTGTCTCCACACAGTGACCAGGAGGCCGGGGCGCCTGGGGGCTCAGGCGGTTGAGCGTCCGGCTTCGGCTCAGGTCACAATCTCACGGTTCGTGGGTTTGAGCCCTGAGTCGGGCTCTGTGCTGACAGCTCAGAGCCTGGAGCTGCTTCAGATTCTCTCCCCTCTCTCTGCCCCTCCCCCATTTGTGCTCTCTCTCTCTGTCTCTCTCTCTCAAATAAACTTTTTAAAAAATGAACAGGAAGATCATTCCCTTTGTGAAATGTCCCTTCTGCATTCTGGACACGCCCTGCCCGGCTCAGTGGCTCACGCTGGCCGCCCACCCCTCTTCCTACGAGTGCAGCAGCAGGAGTGACCGATGAGCCCAGCGCCCTCGGGGACAAGTCTCTGAACAGGCCATAGGCTAGAAGGTGGAATCCATCAGACTGGAGTCGATCAGCAGCTCCGGAAGCTGTGAACTCACTTAAACCCTGGGAGCATCCACCTGTGATGTCTGCCGTGGAGACAGGGGACATGGGACGTGTGCCTCTCAGATCCCGGGAGCCTCGGTGGCTCTGTTGGCGAAGCGGGAGGGGACGAGGTCACCTCCTGGCCAGTGCTCGACACTCCACAGACAGCGAGTGTCTTCTGCCTCAGTTCCTGGCTCCGTCCTGAGTGGTAACATCGTGTAGACGGGGCCAGAACACCTGGGGTGTTTGTGAGGCTGGTGGGGAGCTGGTGGGGTGGCTGCCCCTTCATCGGGGGCGGCATCTGTGCAGGACACGGAGGAAGCGACGGTGACTCAGTTCCCCGGGCTTGCACCCCACGGCCGCCCGTGACTCAGAGCTCAGGCACCTGGGGTGCGGCAGTCGAGCGAGAATCTGCACTTTCCTCGCCCATCCTTCCCGTGCTGGGAAGATCCGCCAGGCCTGACACACTTCAGCGGACTTTATCTCCTAAGCATGTGACAGACAGGAGCCTTGCAGAAAGGGAAGGGCCCAGGCGAGACTCCCCGAAGAAATGTGAGGTGTGCCCTCGAAAAACTGGCTCGCTGGCCATGGACGTAGCCCGTGGGAGGCAGCACAGAGTAACAGCGTGCGGTGGGGTGAGAACCGAGTCTGAGCCCTGCCTGACACACTGAGCTGGGTGGCTGTGGGCCAGTCACTCGACCTCTCTGAGCCTTTGGGGCAACAGCTGTGTAAAAAGGACGCTATCTTCTTCCCAAACCTTTATGGGGGAATCAAAACAGCCAAAAACCTTATGGGGATAATAGAAAATATGTACTTGGCAAATACTAATTCCATTCTGTCCAAGTGTAGGGGATTTAATTTTCTGGGGTACAGAAAGGGAGGGCCAGGGGACGACTGTTTAAGGCAGCGTCGGTCAGGTGCACGGATTCAGTATCGTGTGGGCTGGAGCAGTACAGGGACAGATGTGACAGGGATCGCATGGGCGCCTTACTCATGACTATTGGCTGCACTAATTTATTCTCTGAATAATTATTTTGGGGGTAATTTTATGTTAGCATAAATAGTATTCTCTAATGTTATTTATTCCTCACAGTTAATCCAATAAAGAAACTATTATTCTCGTTTTCAAGACCGTTTACGACACGCCTCCGAATTCTCAGGCGTCAATCTATCCTACGGCCGCACGTGCCTTCGCTAAGTCCCGAGTGACAGGACGTCTGCTTCGAGTGCTCCCCGTTACAAACAATAAAATCCACAAACACATTTAAAGGAGTATTGCGTAAGCTCTGCCAGGCTTAATAAATACTGAATGCTTATTAAAATATGTGGACACGGTAACATTTTACAAGGCGCGTTCACAACATAAAAGCCTGCGTTCCCGAATTTCACCTCATTTGAAGTCTACCTGTTGGCCGTGTCCTCAATGGAAAGAAAAAGAAACGCGCAAACGTACGTTGACTAAGCTGTCAGCTCCAAGGGGCAGGTCGCTGGGAAGGTTATGTCAAGCCGTAGGGTGAGCTCTCCGGATGTTTCCCAAGAGCTAATGCTGGAGCGTAGTGTTAACGCGTAAGGAATGCGAGCTTACTTATTCGCGTTAAAGAGAATTCTGAAGGTTGGTAACAAAGGCCGGTTCCCTTTTCTCCCCACAAGTGCAAAACAATCACGCACATCTGGCCTTCTAACACTTTTCGGGATGGGTATGGATCAAAAGCTAGACTCGCAAGGATGTACAGAAAGCTGGGAGTGCGTACGTCCTGTTTTCTAACTTTGGTGACTTCGGCAAATCAAGAGCAAGAACCCAAGGGATGAAGGCGTACACAGCTGGAGCAGGGCCCTTGCACAGATCACCTGGGCTTGCAATCCTTTGTGCAGCCCATTTGGTCTTTAACAAATTAGATACTATTTAACACATATGTATAACTTATTTTCTGCCTGACCTTTTCCGCAGTCCAACGGCTTTACCTCAATATACTTTCTTTAGAAATCTCCAAATATTTGGCCCAGAAAGAAAACCAAAGGTCAGGGTCAGAGGTGTTTCTCTGCTTTCCCAAACACCCAGGAGAGAAGGTCAAGCTGAGCACATGGAGGTCAGGTCCCCGAGCAAGAGAAATGGCTTCCCTGCACGTCACATGCAGAGCAGGGAAACATTGTGTTTTTCCTATTGTATTTTATTGTTTTCCAAGTCAAGTTAAATCGGGAGACAGAAACCAGGATGGCTCAAGAGCTCCCGACAAAAGGCACGGCTCTTAGAGAATCGCGTGTCTTCATGCAGCTTGTGCAGGGGAATGTGATGAAGGATCCGTAATTTTTATTTGCAGACTTTCGGTTCTGCTCTAACTTGGTGGAAGCCATTGGTTCCCTCTTTCATTTCCTGTATCAAGGGGCTCACGAAAGAACAGCCCCCCGCATCTCTGAGTGGGCATGCCTGCCTCGCCGGCCACAGGGAGGACCCTGCTTCGTTCTGAGGGGCTCTCCCCAAGGTAGAGGGGAGCGTCGAATGGTGGACACGGGCGAGGAGCGCTACGATCGTCCCCGAGACCGCGTGCACGGAGCCCAGGACTGGATACTAAATGCAGAAGTCATGCACAGGAGAAGATACCGTTTCAACTGTACATGGAACTGTGGTTTTGAACCAGTCTGAAAATCAGAAGAATCAGGGGGAACTTGAAAGTCACCCGGGGCCTTTGGCTCAGAAATTAAAAATTTAGCTTCTCTTTTAAATATTGCACAGACCCTGACTCCTGAAGGTGCACTAAAACATGAAAGAAACAAATGATCACGTTCTGGGGCACTTTGAATAAGGACAGGCCAGTCAGAGCCAGGCTTCAGTGTTCTCCTTAATGCTCATCTTCATGTAGCTCCAATCCCTTCGCTAAGCGTGCAAGTATTTTGGAAGAAACGCGTCGCGGGCGCGGAGGTGGAGGGTGGGAATCTGCCAGCCTCCTCTGATGGAGCTGGCCACACCTGCTCCGGTCCTTGTCATGATGCGCCTGGCCGCGCACATGTCAACAGTGTGAGAGGACATTTGTTACCGCTCGGGGGCACGCTGAGAACCGTCTAGGACACGCTCG